TAAAATGAAAAATAAATACTCCTATTAGATATAAAATGGAATGAATATAAATAACTACGACAAATATTGAGCCAATCATTCTCTAGGACCAAAGATTCACGACAATAATATACATTGTCATATCAGGTTAGGACGTAATGTAAGTAGCAAAAAGGCATGTAGTTTAGACTATAATACCACAAAGGAGTATGATAGTTTGAAACCTTCACCGTTAATTAGAGAATTCAGATTCAATATCTAAATACAGAGCACTTGAAATAAAAATGCTATAAATTTGAATAAAAATCTCGAAAAGAAAAATAAACAATAGAAGTATCATGTTTTGAAGGATTTACTATTTACTTTTAGTATTACTTTAATTTATATATATGAGTATTGGATCGGGTGAGCCACGTCGGGTTGAGTTATTCCTATTTTAATTTGATTATTATTTATTAGGCTGAAAATAAGAAAATTCTTGTGAAAATTTATATTTTCCTATCACTGTGATTTTTTGTGAGTTAGTAGAATTTTTATGATTTTTGTGTGAGAAAATATAATTATATGATTTTGGTAAATAAAGAATCATGGTTATGATTTTTGTGTGAAAAGATAAAGTTACATGATTTTAGTGAAAAAAAACTATAGTTATATCACCATTTGTGAAATTAACCCAATAAAAATACCATCATAAGAAGCTCCTTACCTATTCATAGTGGCTTAATCGGCATGAATCCCAATTAATTGAGCCAGCGAATTTTAAATACAGAAAGTTTAACCAAAAAAGTTTATATTTAAAAAACGAAATCTAAAAAGTTGTTAGGTCAATATTTTTTTTATAAATATGCCCTTCTTTGGAGATCCAAATAAATTAGGGTCCAAGTGAAGAAATTTCACAGTGTGCATCCTTAAAGGTTGGCGATTAACTTTTGGTCATGTCAAAGAAAGTATAGTAATTATACAAATACCCGCCAGAACTTGTGCTCCTCCTCTTCCTTCTTCTTCTCCATCATTTTCATATGTGCCGTAGAAAATTGAAAACTCATGACCTTATTTGTGTTGGTTTGGATTGGGATTGTAGAAGAACCTTGAAAATACCAAATTATTTGGGTTTGTTTGACTTTATTGTTAAAGAAGATAAAGTAATTCTATTAACTTTCGAAGGTTTGGATTGAATTTAACCATCGAGAATTATTGGGATTAATAAGATGTTGAATATAAAATAAAGCCATCTGGATTCTGATGTTGTTCCTGACAAATTTGGATTAGTTTTAAGCAAACAATGTGTTGGTGAAATTTTTCAGAAATTTCTTATGATTCGCCAGAATCTGTAGAAAGTGATTTCCAGAATCAACCTGCTTAACTGCATGCCAGACCATTAAATAATGACACAATTTGTGTTTAATTCCTTGTGATTCACCGGGAGTAGTTGTGGCAAATCCATCAATCAGAAGCTCCTATAGATCCGCCAGAATATGACAACAATTTGTTCCAAAATTATGGCACAATTTAACAAGGCTTATGGTGATTTATCAAGACTTGTGGCAACCTTATCCATTAGAAATTCCTAGAGATCCGCTAGAATTTGTAAACAATGTGTTCCAAAGTTATGACACATTTGTAGTAAACTCCACATAATTCACCAAGACTAGTTATGACAAGTCCATACATTAGAAACTCTTGGGGATCCACCAGAATATGTGAACAATTTGTTCTAAATTACGACACAGTTAATACTAAGGTCCTGATGATTTATCAGGACCTTGGACAAGCCTATCAAATAGAAACTCCCGGTGATTCCTGGACACTTTGTATCGAACTCCTGATAACTGTCATAACTTGTGACAAGGCTAGACAAGTTAAATCATTCCATATAAATAAGGGCGGTTAAATTTGGTCCAAGCCCAAATGACTCACACAACTCATTCAATGTTGGGCTAGTTATTGACCCACCTATTTATTGAACTTAAGCTCATCTTGACCCAACCCATTTCAACCCATTAAAATTTGGGCCAATTTTTAACTCAAATTGATCAATGAGTAACTTTGCCAAAATATCTTAGAAATAAATTATATAACAAAAGAAAAAGGTCTTATTTAGAAATTATGCAATTCATAAGAAGACAACATATATTAAGTAAAACTTAAAAAGAATTGGGCGGGTTGGGCAATGACCTGAATTTTAGTACATCTTGATACAACCCATTTTAGCCCAAGACCCGCTCAATTATTAACTCAACTCATTTTGACTCGCCCAAAATCGGCTCAACCCGCCCATTTAACACCCCTAAATTATAAATTGAAGCGGAAGGAGCACAACGTAACAATGAAGAAAAAACAAAATGATTACTCATGACAAATGGCTTTTAGCATATTCCCACACGCACCATTTATACTAAGCTACCTCTACAAGTGGCTAATTAAACTACTAGTAACAAAAGAAAACTATATGATCACCTCCAAGGAGAAGAACGATTAACTGAAATTTAAAATAGTACGAATGACGTAGAAATAATAGTATCATTAAACACCTAATTTCTTTTTTCTTTCAAACGTCAACATACACAAACTTTATCTTTTGTTCTTTTGAAAGTCAGCCAGCAACTTCAATACCGTAAAAGTTGGCATGTTTATTTCGTCAACCGAATTTTCTATACTGTGGCAGTTAATATAATGCCTGATAGGTTTTAAGGTTAAGTTTCAATTATAACAATATTATCTTCTGTTATATTTTTGGGTAAACAAAAAGGAAAGAATAAAGATAATTAGCAAGATTGCTACTGGATTCAAAATAAAGAAAGAAAGAAGAATTAGTTACTGCATTAATGATCATTAAGAGGCAGCTCAACTTAAGGAGTGAACGAATATTCAGTTACAATCATTAATGGTCAATCAAGAAGCATTTTTGACTCAATCAAGGGAACCCATTCCAGTTTCAAAGAATATGCTCCTTGAAATCAGCCGGAACATGAAAGGTCACATCCGAGTCTGGGCCAGTCAAAGAGCAAGATTCAAAGAAGTATCTCTTGGGTCAAATCCCTTAATCAAAGATTTTGAGCCTCATGTTTCCAATAAAGATTTAATGGCTCTTTTCTCTGGTATAAAAGGGAAGCTCTCTCAAGAAGAAGACCTTGCAACTACAAAAAGAGCATTCCAAATCTGTCTACTTCTTAGTTCAAACATTGTAATTCTGAGTTATCAGTATCTCAAAAGATAGAGAGATCTAGAGTGCAAAAGAAAGTTGTGTCACTTGATTAGAACTCAATTGCTGATTCTATATATTGATGGATACCATCGTGTAAATTTATTCAAGATCTTAAGAGAACTCTTGTGACCCAAGGGAACTGGATGTAAGTACCACAACGGTATCGAACCAGTATAAATCGTGTATGTCTTACTATTGCTCTTTACTGCTTTTACTCCTTCTGTCTCGTGGATTAGTCAATTAATGTTCATATTAGCCGACTAAATTTTAATCCCCGCCTCTTGTACTTTCAATGCCAACAGAACCGCAGTCTTCAACCTCGGGCCTGATAAGAAAATTCCTGCCAGAAACAACATAACATCCATTACAAACAAATTAAAGCCATGAAATGATGAAATATGAAGAACTAAATAGATAAGAATTCTACTTCTTTACATTAACAGTGTAACTAAGTTTTTTACACACTGAGATTAAGAGCACGACTTGCAGCACCAAGTAACTCTTTAAAATAAATCTAATTTGGTAATATGGAAAATAAAGTAAATAACTTGACATAATGAGTCGAAATGCATTGGTGGTAGAAAATTTAACACGACATCGATAATATTTTGGGCACACTACTAGTCTTAAGAGGGAGAATGCACCTTAATTTTGAGTGCGAACAAAGGCATCAGCCAGCATCAGACCAAGCTGAACTTGTGCTGGAGTTGTAAGGTGCAAAAAATCTGGCCCAACTGGTAGCCCTTTAGCATCAACACATCTCAGGTTCGGAAGCTTAAGCCCCAGCTGAGCTTTCCTGATCTCCTCTATATAAGGCCCTGGTGCTGTCGCCAATGCCACCTACACCCACAACAACAACAACAACGGCAGCACAATAACCAACGAAAATTAGTCAAAATCTTGATCTAGCTTCGAGTTGTATAGGGACCCATCTTAAGAAATTCTCCATAATGACATGGGAAATACATGAGAATAATGGAATAGTAGTAAACTATTTACAACCAAGAGTCTTAGCGGGATGGTCCCTCTATCCTTAATCAGAGGTTTCAGGTTTGGGCCCTAAAATGGAGACTTCTTGGTAGTGAGCGATTCACCTCATAGTGGACCTACTCGTCACTAATCTGGATTAATAATTAGCCGAGCTAGTAAGTTTTGAATACCGGATGGTTAACATGAGCATTGACTTTCTCTGTGAACAAAAGATCATTTCATTACCTGAACAATAGGGAGTATAGGCAGCTGCAGATCCTTGCGCACATGTTTGAAGAATTTCTTCAATCTGCCTTTATACAATGCAGCATCTTCAGGGTCCACAGCGTCACTCTCTCCCTGGTACCACAGCATCCCTCGTATTGTCCCTCCGCCTTGCAACGCCGCCTTCGTCCTCCTTATCATTTCATTGTAGAGCCAACCACCACGAGCCCATTGAGTAATATTTGTGCCGCCAATAGCACACGGGACCAACCCAATCACTCCAATATTCGGGTCGCTCTTCAAGAGTGTATTGGCAAATGACATACCAGGACCAACCCCACAAGTTTTGTTCACATCTCTGTCTTTGTGTAGAGGTTCTTTAGCCTCAACCCATTTAAGTTCTGCGCTAAGTCGGACGATTGATGGATTGGGCTGACATTCAGGTGGAACGACACCATCCCAAGTCAAATTAACCATACCTGCTGGGCTGGTATGATTAAAGACTCCACCACGGCCTGACATGTTGCTCTGTCCTGATAAAATGAATATGTTCTTGACTTTTGAAGCACAACCATTTGTTACATTAGCCGTTGCCACCCACGCGGTGTGCACCAAAAACATCAAAAAAAGAAGGGAATGCATTGTTTTCCAGAACACAGGTTCAAATTTTGAGAACATCTTCAAGTCTTCCTTTTAAACAAATTAAAGAGGGACTCCGAGGAAAAGAGGGTTGTTGGCCTTTCCTTTTAGCAAGATGATTGATTCCTTGTTAATTCAGTATTAGATTCATTCCACTTGCTACTATTTTTATTCAACACTACTAATCAGCTACAGTATGACCTTTGGATATGACTACAAGACAAAACTTTTTATATGCGAATGAATGAATACAGTGTTTCCACATTAATCAAGCCTTTGACCAGCCCCTTACCCTAAACTAACACATTGGGCACTATTGTATCACGAGTTAATTCTTAATTAATCACTTGCATTTCTACATGCTTGTGTTGCAAAACGTCTACTGCAATAATTTATTTGAACTTCTCGTCCGTTAAGAGAAGGCAACAAAAGTAGAGGAAAACAAAAATGTACCAAAAGTCCATCCTACTGACATTATAGCTCCTCCCGGGTTAGCAGCAAGGATAGATCAAGATTATTCCAAGAATGATTTTAAATATTTATTGTACGTGAAGGATTTATATTAAGTTATATAAATTTTTTAAAGGCATTTTTCATGAATTAATTAATTCTCAACTTCTGCATCCAATGATAAGCCGGCCACAAATTTAACATCCTCCCTGTAGGCTCACAATCAATTCATTTCTAGAAACTTCTCCAAATACTATAACTCTCAGTTCTTAAAAGAAAGACTTTTAGTTTTCCAGAATTTTGTCGACCAAGCATGCTATTAAAATGATAGACTTTATGTGTAGAAGCCATTTTTTAGTTTACATGATTTCGTGCACGTCACAAGTAATATGGTTACGTAAACTACTCCTCCAGCTAAGAAGCCAATGCTGCTCTTTTTGGATTGAATTGGTCTGTATTGAAGGGTTACTGTTGGTTTCCCACGTCGGATAAGGAATATTTGGTCATGGGAAATCTTCACCTTATAATAAAATAACTTTTAAGATGAAGTTAACTCAAGGTCTATTTCTTTTTATAGATTTATTCTAAATGGAGTCAATAAAGTTTCTTCTTATTATTTGCCCCATGGTGCTAAAGGGCCTTTCATGTTTGGCTAAAGATTCATATTTTTGCATGTAGTTTTTCTTGCATTATGCCTCAATCTTGTTAATTGTGGCGTGAATATTTGTGACTTGAGCTAAATAATGGTATCCATATGTGTAGGAGTCAATTGGAAGTGATTTGAAAAATTTACATACAAAGTGAAGTAAAAACTGAAGAATCTGGAGGAAGTATAAGTTTGGTGCCCAGGTCCCGGACAGCGATGCGATGTTCACTTCGCCAAACCAGGACCTAAACAGAAGAAACCAGAAAAGTCCCGGACAGCGAAGCGAGGTTCACTTCGCCAGACAGGAAGCGGAGTAGAAGAAATAAGAAAAGTCCTAGACAGCGAAGCAAGGTTCACTTCGCCATACCGGGACTGGAGCAGGAAAAATAAGTTTTTCCAATCCGAATTGGGAGAAGCCAAATTCGCCCAGACAACCCTAATCTCTACAAATACATGCTAAAACGTGCTTTTGAGGGGGGGGGGACACTACTTTGGGAACATTATTTGGAGGAAAGAACATCACGTCAACTTTTGGAGGAGAAAATTATCGAGTTCTTCATTCCTTCGTCTTTTCTTAGTAATTTGTTTATGCAAAATACTTGGACAATTGTTACTATGAACATGAGTAGCTAAGCACTCTAGTTTCTAGGGTTGTGGTTGACATGATTATTAACATTTATTAATTACATCTCCGTTAATTCGGATTATCATCTTGTGGTTGTTTCTTTAATTCTAGTTTTTATTTGTGAATTGTTTTAGCTACCAATTCACCCTACTTTCTATGCTATTGTCACGACCAAACCGATGGATCGCGATAGGTGCCGAGTCCTACCTGTCGAACACCCTTAAACATGCGTCTAAGATATAAACATGAATAACATCTGCTGGACCACTAGAATAGCATATGTGAGGAAATCTATCCAAAAGACATATATACATACACGTGCGAATTACTTAGGGCGGGCCAACAAGGCTGCTATAGAAAACTACATATCCAAAACTAGAAGCCGGCAAGGCCACATACTATCCAACTATACATACTGTCTACCGACTTCTAATAGAAATACAACTGTACAAAGACGGCACTGAGCCATGTCATACCCATATTTATATATACAAGCATATCATACCAAAATCAAAAGCAGCTCCGGATCAAGTGGAGCATGCCAATTCTCGCTGATCAAGGATCCTAAGAAGGGGGATTGTCAGCTTGCCTACCTGCACCTGCGGGCATGAAACGCAGGCCCTGGGAAATAGAGCGTCAGTACAAATAATGTACTAAGTATGTAAGGCATGAAAATCAGTACATAAAAGACATAGATGAAACATGGAATGAAGAATTTCATTTGTAAGTCTGAATAACTTTGTAAATTCTGAAACGTTTATAATGTCATGAACGTGCATATAAATATCGTGCCATGCATGGGTATAGGTGTACATAATATCATCAAGCCTCTAAGGGCATCATAGCATATCGTCTCGGCCACTGTGGACAACATCATCAGCATATACCAACTGGTGGTGGTGCGTATATAACATCGTAATCTTTTTCCCGTATCCCATATAAATATAATATACATATATACACATATATAACGCCATCTGTTCATGGGCCAATGTACATGTATAAATGCATAAGAAATACGTTAATAAGATTTTCTTGGAATGCCATAAAACTTTATATGCCTTTTGGATAAACTTTATCAAATACATATTTTTCTGAGACTCATAAACAGACGATAGAATAATAAGACTTATGAGAGAATAAGAATATACATATCTCTAGCATTTCTACGAATAGAGTAATTTATGAAAGTTGTGCATTTGCTCGTTTCATTTGTATCGTATAGATCATGCCAAAAGAAAGAAGGGATGACCTTAACATACCTAGAGTAGGGAAAAACCCGTATAATATTCTTGGAAAAGATTGCACTATACTCCTTTAGAACCGCAAAATTTTACGTTACTACAGTTCTAACAATTCTCGTTGGAATTGTTTGGTTGCAAGAATTTCGTTGGTAGCTTTTTCGGATGGAGTTTAGCTTCTATTCTTGAAGTACTTTAAACTTAGGAAGAAAGATATATGATTCTTACTTTATTATTCTCTGTCCAAATGAACCAAACTTTTTATAACTTTGAATGTTTTACACGTTGATGACTTATTCACTTTAGGTATCCACCTATGATCATATGACTACTTAGTCATATGTCTTAATAGTGGCCTACTGCCACGTGAGGGGTGGGGCAGGGAGGAGATTTTAAATCTTTATCCAATAATTTATTAATTAATTAGGTAATGTCCCGTTACCTGATAATTAATCAATTACCCGCATAATTAAGAATTGTCTCAAATTACTTAAGTTACCACTCATTGTTAATACACTTTGAGTACCCTACTATCGTGGTCATGGGGTACCTTATATGACACTAGTCTATAAATATCGGGTATTATAGCTCGGACCGTATTTTATCATAAATCGACAACCTTCAACGAAACTCATTTTCTTAGATTTATTTGCCCTTTATCCTTCACGGCACTTACTTATCGCTTGTTATAAATAGCATAAATACGTTAGCCTTAAGATAATCTCATCCCTGAGTCTACATCGATTAACTGAAGACGAAACTTTAACGTACGAAAACGCGGGATGTAACAGCTATGCTTGGAAAAGTCGTGTGTAGATTAGAGTTGAATTAAAGAGAGCCTGTTTCTGAATACGTGGCTCAGGGCATTTTGAGGTTAGGATAGGGATAAACCTAACCATCTTGCTTAGTTGAATATCGTATTATATTCGTTCGTGATAGACTCAATACCATAGGAATATAGGATTAATATAGTATGGATAGACGAGTAGTATTGTGGGAACATGCTATAACATGTTATTCATATAAATGATCCGGTCAATTAGCAATCATTGATACTATGGATTAACAAGTATGGTTATTGAACTTAATATGATTGATAAACTGACCACAACCCTAGAATCTTTATCACCTCTAAATAAAATCCAAAAACACATGTTTGCATCCTTGATATATTAGCTAATTACTTGTTCAATTTATACAAAAGTTGTTTAGTAGAAAAATGATATTTTTTATCTTGGACTGTTAATTGATTTTAGTTAGCTTAGTTAACGATTAATCTAAGTCTATATGGGTTCGACATCCGACTTTTGAGTCACTTTATTACTTGACAGTCACATATACTTGCGTTTAGTTAGGGAACCAATAAGTTTTGGCGTTGTTGCCGGGACTTGGTTATTGATTATTTATTTAATTTAAGCTTTTATTCATTATATGTTCAATTTTTAATTTTTAGTTTGCTTTATTTATGTTAACGCAGGCTCTTCTCTCGAATGCAGAGGAGTAGAAGCACGAACAACCACTTTCCTCTTGATCTTGAAATAGAACGAACACTTCGCAAGTTAAAGAGGGAAGTCGAAGCTAGAACTAGAACAAAAGGAGAGTTGGAAATTAATGTTCAGCCTAAACCACAACAAATGGCAGTAAATGAAGAGCGACCAGTGATAGTGGCCGCAATGCCTAATCTTGCTAATGTGACCCAGGCTATAGTGAAGCCTGATATCACGAGTCACTTGAGCTCAAACAGTACATCGTACAACTAATTCAGTCCATAGGGCAGTATGTGGGTCTATCTCATGAAGATCAGCAGCGGCACATTCAGAACTTTTTGGAAATTACGAGTACCTATAATTATCCGATTGTTTCCAACGACTATGTCAGACTGACATTGTTTCCCTTTTCACTGCTGAGGAGCCAAAGAATGGTTGCAGAAGGATCCCGCAAGCTCGATCCACACATGGGATGATCTAGCACGAAAATTTTTAATCAAGTTTTTTCCCATTAAGAAGACAAAGTCGCTAAGGAGTCAGATTCTTGGGTTTCAACAACGAGATGGCGAGACTCTTCATCAAGATTGGGAAATATACAAGAAGCTATTCAAAGACTGCCCACACCATTGTTAGACTGATGAGGTGTTGGGTCATACTTTCGTTGATGGGTTGGAT